AAAATTGCCAGTCAGATTGCCGACTTCTATAACCTTGCCCCTGTGCTAAACCAACAATGCATCAAACCTGCACTAGTGGCTCTGAATCAACACTTATTCCTTGTTGGTCCCTTGTACAGAAACTTCTCCCCTAGTCTATTCTATCCAGCCCAGAACACAAATATCAGCCTTCGCTATATGAATTATATATTTCAGACATACGTGGTTTATATACAAGCAGATCAGACCGCATCATACCATAAAATGAAAAATAACAATCACATAAGATCAAACCAAAAGTGGCTGTGGGATACTGTAACAGATAAATTAGGGATAAGTTAAGAATAGCAAATTATATAACAGTAGCAAATAAGTTAAATGAAAGCTTATGATAAAAGGAATATGAACATTTATACATAATCTAGTTACTTATTTATTTATTACTTATTTATTTTAACACATAGATATTGGTACAAGGAGGCACCAAATATATATGCGCTACACAAATCTCATTCGATATGTGTGAGGGCTGTATTACTGCCCGGGTGCCCAAACCGAAGCAGGTGGGTTTCCTAGGGCGTCACTCCCCGAGCCTTCGACCTGAAGGTCTGATCCACAAGGCAGTAGAGCATCGTAAGGAGATGCAGTCCTATGGAAGCAGGTGACCGACAATTGGCTCATACGCCATTTGTTCCCTCAGGATACTGGAGCCCATGTGCACCATTGGTTTGGAATCCGGTTAAAGCGCCAGACATCCGCTTTTCGTCCTCTCATTTTCGTAAACAACACCCTCGCCACGAGAAGGCAGTGAGTAGGACTTCCCTGGCAGAGGCTATATACGCATGGCCATGTGAGAGCATTTGGAGAGGGGGAGCGGACTCTCCCCACTCTCGGCCGTACCAGGGCATTTGGGAGCAATCTAGTTACTTAATTATTGTCCAATAAGAATATATGTAATAATAGACCATAACAACTCCTAGCAGTTACCATCCATTTATTCTTCGTTCGGATAGAACAAATCCAAATAAATGTTTTTCCTGGAACTTTTCACCAAGGTGTCGTGACTATATAAATTAGAGTAAAAATTATGAAATCAACTTACAGAAGGAAATTAGTTTATTTACAATAAATAGGTTTAATATGTACGTAGTCTATCTAGTAAACGGATGGACTGAAGTCATGAACGCTTTATTTTATAATCTTACGGGTATATGAATGTTATATTCTTTCAAATTCACTTTTAATTTATGTTAGCGTATTTATTTCATCTTCATTTAAAAACATTCTTAAGAGTCGATAGAATAATATTCAGCTACTAAATCGTTTCGCTTTTTATCATTTACACAATGTCCTGTTTCAAACTCTGACGTGACCAATGGAGTCAAACCGTGTCTGTTGTGAAGGAGTTACTCACTGAAGACGATGGTAGACAGGATTTCCTACTAACTATCTCCAACCATTTAACAATATGTATTACTGAATTTCTAATTCAGTTATCTTTGATAAATGAAAGATTAATGTTCATCGATAAATCATTATCTATTGAAAAGTGTTCAACAGAAACATGACAAAGATCTCGTTCAGTTATTAGTTTATCTTAGAATGAGAAGCAGTGATCAGTGGAATTCAACCAGGTCTGTTGTGAGATAGTAACTCACTGAATACAATGATGAACGGTGGCTCGATTTCGTGGATTGGTTGAAGTTAGATATTAACACCGTTGGATGCCGGCTCAGTGATCTAGAGGCTAAGCGCTCGTGTGCGAGTCCGAAAGGTCCTAGGTTCGAATCTCACGGGACAGGATCGTGGATGCGCACTGATGAGGAGTCCCACACTGGAATGAAACGGTTGTCCAGTGCTTCCAGGTTTTCCATGGTGGTCTAGCTACAATTGACTCATGAACTTAACTATTAAATTACTATAATATCCACAAAAACCCCTTTCTGAGAATCACATATTCAACAACAACAGTGATATAGTACACATTTGTTAGTAAATAGATCTTACCACTTATTTGAATGCATAGAACCTAACAATAAAAAGCTTCCCATAAATCACTAAGCATAAAATATATATTGAATAAAAAATATCTAAGATCATAATTACGTCATTGCAATCAATTGTTTTTCTCCCCTCAAGAAAATAGAATTTCATACATTGTAACAACATGAGGGAAATATAAAACTATTGATAATGGTTTAGCCGAATAGACCATTAAAATCAATGAATATCAATAACATGAAAAAAGTAGACAAATGAAATTTAATGATTATTTACACGTTTAGGTTACTATGACCTATATGCCACACCTAATAACATGAACATTAATGACGAGACTATAATTTATGGACAAACCAATCAGGTATAAAATAACAGGTCTCAGATTTTGGCGCGAAATTCATTCATCCATTTGGGTAAATGGAGTTTTGGCATTAAAGCTGATGTCAGTTCGTGATGAAAACGTTAAATCTAATTCTTAATCCTAACCATCAACTGCAAATCATAATTCTATTTCCTCACACTGGTTTATAATCCTCATTTAGTCCTGGTTATTAGGTGGACACTCTCAAGGTAACTTCAGCGTCGCTCAAAGGTCGTCCATAAATTATAGTCTCACCAAGTTAGCCATCAGTTGTATCGACAGTACGGTATAATATTGGTATTTCAATTTATTAATTGAATTTTTAGAAATTCCAAATCACTGGATTACGGACCTTGACTGATGTTACATGTCAAAACAGATGACTTATAAACACGTTGTACACTTTCCTAATCAATGAAACATTCATACATTCTATTATAACAGAACGGATATTGTAAAAGTTGGAACTGATCTTTCGAATTATTCTTAATTATAATTTTATTTTATAATTACTGAGTAACTAGATTACTACGTATATACATCCTAGTATTCGTAAACTTTAGACTAACCCATTGGCTTGTATCATGCAACTTACTATTCCTAATTTGTTACCAGTCAGCTATTTACAGCTTTCCCTACTAAGAACTTCTTTTGGATTGTTCATGTATAATTGGTATTCTTCATTTTGTGCTGTGATGCGGTCTTGTATTTCTACATATGAACTATATCTGTTTGGAATATAAACGTAGTAGACTGGCTGCAACTTCTGAACTCAGAAGCTGGGCATAGAAGGGAGCCAACGTATAGTGGATCAATAGGAACCTCGATGTCACTCCAAGGTCAACAGTGCCGCTCAGGCATGTAAGTGGCCAAGTGAGAGACGCTAGACTATAGTGTGAATGGCAGACCAAATTAGAATTGGTGACTGGGCACGTGACATTGGTCTATGGATTTTCACGACATAACACATTCATAGGCTATAATCACATTATTGATTTAGTGACTACGTAGTAAGTTATGTATTGAAAGAATAAATGGTTTTAATACATATTTACAACCTATATTCAACATATTTGATTCCCGGACCACATAAATGCATTTCCAGAGAAAGTGTAACGCTGTTATAAGTACTATAACGTTGACAATCGTCTAGATCAGTGTTATCAGTTAGAACAGTGACAACGGGCAATTTAAAGTTTCTGATGAGATTTCATGTGCATTAAGGTAGCTAACTAATCTCTCAATACAGCTAATAAACATCCAACCACTTCATCCTATTTATTTCGACTGATAATTTAATAAGAGCATTATGACGTTGAGCCTCTCACCAATGAATGTTACTAGAGTTTTCAACAAAACAATCAATAGTTCGGAGAACTTTTGAATGAGCTCGCAATATGCATAGAACTAGAGAAAACCGGTCTTTCACCCAATCTAGATGTATCACAAGAGGCAAATGAATAATAACTAGCTAAATTATTGGTCCACAGTAAACAACCGTTCTAGGCATCTCTATGGTGATCATTTTTCCAAACAGTACTAAGACTGTTGAGATGAAAAACAGATCAACTCTAACATTCACTCTCACGAAATTATCTTACTTAAGAGGACTTCTGAGCCGATGGATCAAACTAACATTCAGCAAATATTTGGGACTTTATATCCATAATATCCTAGTTTCATGTTTTGAAATGGCCTCTGATTGTTACTGATATAGTCATAAAAAAGTAATTCATTGTAAATAAAGTTTACGTTTTAAGAACCCTTTTCTCTGTTGGATGGTCGAAAGTAATCGGACAGGAGAAGTTGAACCTAGGTCTCCTGAAAACTGACACTTGTCAGTAAGAAATACCTTCAGTCCTGAGAGAACTGATGCTCCCCGTAGAACTCGAACTCACATCATCAAGCTTTACGGATAAGGAAATTATTACCAGGCTGTTTGGACCGCGATTGATTTCATGTAGATTTGAGATATTGAAAATTGATCGATCTCTGAGTAGTGACCAATGTCGCGTTTGTCCAGTACTTGGTACTGACCGAGTTCTATCGATCAAGTTAAAATGTACCGCTACTGTAGGCGACTTGCCAATGTACACTCTATTAAGATATTAGTTGATTGGAGGTGGACGGCAAGAAAGACTAAATATAATTTAGATTACTTCAAAATATTTACACAATGAATAAAACATCGAACCCAACATAATTTACTAACAGTGAAAATAATCGATCCATGTTTGTAAATAACTTATCAACCAAAGAGTGAACTTTATCGATACACGTCCGTAAAAATATAAATACTGGAGAAAAGTCGTAGCTTTTTGTGTGAATGTTCGCAGAGACCGAAGGTTATGAGTTGCGTATTGCTAAGTCCTGTACTAGGACGAAACAGTTGCCTAGTGCTACCTGATTTTCAAAGAATATCGAACATGGGTCGGTTAGTCACATTAATAAAGAAAAATTTCTCGGTTGACTGTAAAATAATTTACAGGAATTTCTGTAACAAAAGTGTTTTCCTTATCATCCGATCACTAGTTAGACGTGTATTTTCATAACCGCGACTTTTGCGTTACGACTCGAACTCATATTTCTGCATAAAAAGATTAGCCTTGACAGGTAGTTTCAACTCGATCTTAAATGAAATAAGAAGTCAGAAAACTGTTTAATAGGCATTTATGATATTTAATTTATTTGGAAGAGGAGAGCAAACAAAAGCAAAAAAGAAGTGTTAACAAAATTTGACAAGTAAACAAATAAGTCAAAAGAAGTTTTTGAAATAATCAAGTATGTTATGAAGCAAGTTATAGAAAAATGAAGTGTATTGTTGTTGGGTACTTAGACACACATATTAACCGGTTACTAAGACGGCGTTTATATATATATATATATATATATATATAGGTTGAAAGCGCTTTACATTTCCAGGGAAAAATGAAGCGAAGCGAACACTTTCTTATATATAAATACATAAAATATAGCAAACACACCAAATACTCCATGTCACTTATATTTTTATGAAACCATAAACAGTGAATTCAATAATACTGGATAGAAAAACACATATAGATAAGAGAAGGAAAGCAAAGTTTACAGTTCAAGAAGAAAATTAACTGAATAGAACCAGCAATGAATCAATTTACCTGGGCACTTGAGGTTTGAACATGTTTTCAACAAATTTATTACTAAGACAAATGAACCAGTATTGTGACGAAAAAAAGAAAACAAACGAAATATTGCTAAACAAGGTATTAATCGAAAATTACAACACACCCTTTTTTCTCAGACTGGAAGAATAAGTTGGCGACCTTTGAGTACTATGAAATAGAAAAACAAGGTAAAAAAGACAGTTATGTTTTAATTAAAGGTATCAATACATAAGAATTAATAAATAATTGTACACACACAATTATTGACTTTTAATCTAATATTTAATGTATAGGTTTAAATGTTGACCAAAATATCTCATCAGATACTCAATTTATAACATAACAACGGTTTTCAGCTATTAGAATTACAAGGAGTGATAAGCCAATCATGATTTTTACAACAAATAAGTGTTTTCTTTTTACATTGATTATTATTACTTGTGACAGATCAATTTATTTTTCTGTTAGTTAAAGTACACACCTTTTTAAATAGAAGTTCATGCTAAAATGTATATCATCTAACCTTTATTGATTTTAGGGTCTCCATATAATCCATACTCCTTGCAATCAATTTAGTCAATCAGTCATAAACAACATAGAACATAGAATATATGCACATCGATTCAAGTCGCAACATCATATCAACAAAGTGAGATGAAACTACCAAGACAAGTGACAGAAGAGTAGAGGTAGTAACAGTATCAGAGATATCAATTTAGATATAACTGAAAATTCTTAATATAGGTATACATCTAAAATATATGTAACATTGTTAGTTCTAATACAAACCTATATTAGGCTAAAAAAGGTAGCCGAGGAATCAGATATGACTGGATACAAAGTATGAAAAATACAGCGCGTATGAGATAATAGCTTAGTCTACCCACAGTCTATCGCATGAAGTGAAAAGATTTGAGTATGAGTACAGTCCAGTTTTTAGAGACAATCAAATTATTGTTAGTGCAAGTCATTAACTAAATGCAAATTGTTATACTAGACTTTAATCTATATTTGATTGATAATAGAAATATTTGGGACTATGTACTGTGCAAAGGTTGGTGCATGTAGGATTTTTAGTCACACATTTTATTTTACGGTTGACGATGCTATCCAGCTGTATAAATGAAAATAGGTGAAGTAAGACTTGAATTTAACACTAGGTAGTTAAAAGAAAAATGCTTATGTTAATAAGCAACACTACCTCACCTAAACACAATTTGGTTTAAACCTGCAATCCAATGACTGAAAACAGACTACTTGAATCCTAATTTATAGTAACTTGGGTTATCTCGCTGGTGAATATTTTGACTGAAATTTGATCAATCTTAACATACGTGCATCTTGCGAGGATTGCCTCAAGATACCAATTGTCGCAAGTCCATATAGAATAGATGGAGTGACTAGCTGTGAATATGGGGAGATCCAGGTGATGAATCCTAAATACGACGAAACGCGGGTCGTGAATTCGCCTGGTAGCCACATTTCATCTGCTCTATATAAACTTGTGACAACCAGTATATTGATGTGATACGCAACATATGCCGAAACTAATCACAAAATACTTAACAACGAGATAGTTTAAACCATTACAAATTGGATTGAAATTCAGACCCATTCCACAAGTGAGCGGCTATGTGGACTCATTAGCTAAGAGATAACGCGTTAGTATTTGAAGCTAAAGGTACTGGGTTCGAATCTTGGAGTGGATATCAACTCTGAGAAGCAGGTACGTCTGGTTAGGAAGTCCCAAATAGGACAGTGCTCACCCTGGATTCCACCACCAGCCATATTCCATTTATTCTGCATAGACCACTAAGTTGTTAAGTCATGGTTCCGAAAAACCGACAGACAATACGATGTAACTCAACAATTCCACTAACATTCGTGTATCAAGCCACAATTCTACGAGCAAAATATGAACCAGACCTCTTACCTCTAGTGACATAAAGGTAGAAGAAATCAATGTATAATAGTGTTTGGACACATCCAGCTACAATAGCTACCAAGTCATAAACATCTTCCACATAATATCGGTATATCCAATTGACCAAATACAAAGCACGATAAGATCCCAATGCGAATAAATAGTGCGCAGTTATCGTTTCCGCTTCACCTGTACTACTGATCATAAATAATTGAGGCAAAATAGCAACTGATTCCAGATATATAGAAAATGTCCACAGTACCTATCAAGAACATAACATAAGTATTTGAATATGGATTACATTTCAAAACAAATTTTAAGTACTATTGAAAATATCATAGAATTTTCTATATGAAAAAGGTGAATTTTTCGCAGATTATCGTTAACAATGAACAGATAGTTGGAAGAAACGCGTACACTAAGTAGTAACCGCCATTTTTTCCAACCTATTTCAACATATTAATCTTGTCGACCATGTTTTACGATGTCTTTAGAGCAAATAACCATTAAATCATCAAAAAATTCGGGTTTTAAATCATATTCACAGAGAATCTATCATGTTCCGGATTTAGAATAGTAAGGAGCCACTATTAATCACTCAATAACTATTAGGTTAAGGTATTAAAAACTTGTTTAACGGCCCTAATAAACCTCGACTCACTTGGCAGAAATTTTACATACACTAACAAACTTCCATTCGGATGGCACATTTACGTCTGACGGTTCACCTAAAAGGATATCTAAAATTTTTGTTAGGAATCATGATTTCGATATAATGAAGTACTAATTAGGGGACATAAGGTGGGGTTAATTTCAGATTAGCCTTACACAAATGTAGCCCCAAATATTCCCACATTATAACCGTAGACTGACTGACAGTTTGTACAACATTATCCTTCACAATAACCTAAAGTGCAAATGAGTCAATGTCCATGAATAAAAAGTGGGACGGCAACATCATTTATTAACAGATTTTCCAACCTTGGAAACTTAATGAGTGGTGAAGCCCTAATATATGACTGTGATTTCTTTTAGAGTTCAGCAGTTAATTGTTATATCAGTAACCTCTCAACAAGTAAATATACACTTCAAACCCGCACCCTTTCTGTAAGTTGAATTATTGGACTTCTCGTTTGAGTGGATATGAAAGTATCCTTCATTTTGACGCATTTATGTGATCAGACCAAACAACATCCATAAGGAAACCAGTTTTCAAAAATGTTTACGAGAAATATTCTACTTCTGTTAACCTTTATAAACGGTTACCAAGATTACCATGATGCCATAGACAATTTGAAAAATGAATGCATTTATGGAAAGATAACAACCTACAAGAACAATAGAAAGACTTAATGGATGGTAATTTGTGTCTTGTCTGATTTTAGCAATGCACCAAACATACTAAGTTGCAGGAATAAAAGTCGGAGTGAGGGATAGTACAAATGCAGTCGGTTTACTTGCACTTGACCTGGTTTAGAAAAATACGAGTGCGAACTTTCAAGCAATAAAAAACCGCCAGAATAATGTGACGTATATTATGTGTTTGATAATATTAGTACTGCACAATCACATTGAGAATGAACCATAGAGAATTTGTATGTAACACAGATTTTCCTGTGTTAACGCTTAGATGTTATTAATAAGTATAGAACAGACGATATTGCTAAATATACAAAGTATATTTCAAAACCTATTTTTTCACTGCAAACAGTATAAACCTACACATTGCAAAATAATTATATTTACAATCGGCGTAATTAATGGATAATTTATTTGAAAGATGATGGTGTGACTGACTTGAGGACACCCTCATTAGACTAATTTAATGCATACTTACCTCCAAAAACTCAAACTTGTGGTTAACAAGACATGCGAGGCCACCAATGGGGATCACAAAGTAGGGAAGACGAAACAGATGATCATTTGTGTCTAAAGTTGCCTTGAACTTAACATAAATGAAGTAAACCGTTAAGTAAGACAACACAATAAATGTAATTTTCATTATCGTGTTGTATGCAGATATGTAGTATACGAACAAGTCAACATATCGGGCAGTAAACACCAACGCAAACATAATTTGAGTTTTTCCTGAGAGGCCTACAAAAATTGAAAGCAGTTAATAGATAACTTACCCTTGCACGAACGAGAGGAATAAATCTTTAATAACAATATTATGAGTGCTGCAAGGTGGGAAATATCCCCTAACAGTCTAAAGATATTCATGTTGGTCGAGGGTTAACCAAGACAGCCAGCAACGAAGAATTTGTATCCGGACCACAAAATTGTTGCACTTTCACTGTTCAATCGATCTTTAGGTGAAAAGGTAAAAAAGATCGGGAGGCCTACACTAATCTTCTCCGCCTATAGCTCTGTGAGGAATCAGTCATTTTAAATGTACGTAAAGAAATTGATGATGTAATGTTTTCCGATAGAGAATTATAGTGATTGGTACCTCAGTGATATAAATAAAAATCTATGTTGACACGTTTTTACCTTGGTCTCTAAACCTTTTAAAATAATCCCCTTATATTATCCGTCCTTGATGGAAAAGCAATATAAGACATAATAAGAGCCCTTTAGAATACGATTGGTTAATGTTAGATCACCATAACCTACAGCAAGTCAACGAAAACCGAATAAGGTCATTGACAGTCTCAATCTCTCACCTCTTAACCTTAAGCAGCCAATAAAACCATGGCATAGATAGTTTCGTAAGTCTTCGACACTGTTGCTGATTTCATCAGTTCCATTGGACGCACCTTATCTGAAGGTCCTCGGTTACTCATCCACGCCAGATTACCATTAGGCATGTCGCGGTATACAACCCTTCAAAAAACTAATAAGCTTATATCACATACTTCTCGGCATACCAACGGCATTTCAACTATATCTATGAACTTCGCTCTTGACTTCTGTTTTGCTTGGCTTTAGGATGCTCGGTTATAAAAGTGTTACAGTTGTAGCAGTAAATGAATCCTTGAAATTAATAGCTCTGTATTTCTTTGATATCTGATGCTACGACACTGGTTTTGATGAGCCCACCTAACTGAAGGCGCTTGGTTACGCACCAGCACCAGTTCATGAGTGGGTATGCCGTGGTCCAAATACATGACCACTAGCCAGGCTAGATTGATCACTTCTCGATTTATCGACAGCCTATCAAATGCATCTCCGGATTTCTTTGCATCTGACATCTGGTTTCACTGGGTTGTAATGTTTCGATTATAAACAGCATTACTGGTCAAGGTGTTGTCAAGATCCGAATACCTGTGGCATCTTTATGATCAACAGCGTCGTCAAGCCCCGAATACTCGTGACATGTTGACGTTCATTCTAGCATATTAGCTTCACACTTACAACATTGATAGTTTGGCTGGAGTACGTTTTACGAAAGCCGTCCCATAAACTTAGAGTATTATATCTTGAATACATCGTCAGCCAAGTTATGAAATGTTTTCTCATTAACCAACAAGAGCGTGAAACATGTACCTATGATTGTCAGATGGTTATCTGTGATTCCGAAACTACGGCATATAATGATTCATAAGTTTTTTTTAAATTGACAACCTCTGGTAAATTCATCCCATATGTTGTTGAGTTGTATAAATCATCGCAACGACAGATCCGCACCAATATAGTCTTGTCAGGATTTGCTTGTAAAGAGCAATTGTCTGCCTGGTCAAACTCTTTTTTCTTCACGAAGATCAATGACATTTTCAGACATACCTCTCAATGATTCCTCTCGGGATTTACATTGGAAAGTTTATGGATGTGTAACTGTTTAGACGCATCACCATTTTCAGATATCTTCCATAAATGTATCGACGTTTGTGTGGTATATTTTAGTTTTGTCGTGGAGAAAAGTTGTGGATCCAATTATTGAAAGGCTTAATTTTGAAATGTGAGACCCATTTGAAGAGTATAAAGTGAATTTTGTCAAGGGCGTAGTGAAGGCAACATACCAATCAGGTTGCATCGGCAATAATATCACAGCTCCAAATTACTGACGTTAGTTATGTTTGGCTTTTATTAGGTTCTAGTTCCAGCTACAGTCCAAAATTCATAAGTATATCTAAGTGAATAATATGGACCACTGTTGGTTTATGAGAATTACTGAACCACTTGCATATACCAAAAATCGGATATAATGATCCGAAATAATCGAACCTATCTGTCTAATAATCATATATAGATCAGTACTAAAATTAAAAAGATAACTAGAAGCACAATCGAAACTTGGAGTAAATGTGTTTAGGGCCCAATGCCACTACAAAGTCAATAATGACCGTATGAGATCAAAGAAATTAACCACCTTGTTAAGATCTGCATAACTGTCTTTTACAACTAGTGGTGAAATGGACAGTAGTTCTAGTCACTGACTTAATGTGTCCTTCCTCGCCACACTTTATTCGCGTGGAATAAAAATATACACATGGATTCCGTAAACAAAGTTTATCATAAAACGAATATTTACTAAAATTGTCCTCAGTTGTGTATACTTAGTTATAAGTCTTTATTTAGTTGTTGCATGTTTTCACTCAAATGAGATGATAATTAACTAAACGCTTATCTGTACGACTTTGAATATGGATTAGTTTAGGAATGAGCATTTTAGCATCCGTATCTGCTCTTTTTCAAATTTGGTTGGTCGATTCCTCCAGTTGATTGATCACGCAGCTGAGCATGAGTTTGATCACTTCATTTACGCTTGGTGGCTTGTTTTTACTTCTTTCCGATCGCAACATGTTTGCTGTTTTGTGGATCTTTGCTCATTCACGGATCTCAAAGTTCGTGAACTTGATATGATTGATATTAGTTCTTTGAGGGTTTCATATAAGAGGAAAATCGATTTATCTGAGAGCGCCAAATTTTTCATCATACTTTTTCCATTCATTTCAATAGATTCGAGGAAATGAGTCACACTTTTGCTGCATTTAACATCAAGTTTAATGTCTGATATTCATGTATAAACCAGCACTGAAGTTGAGTAAAAAATACTGAAATAGCTGCTGAATGCATTGCATTTAGAGTTTAGATTAAGGGCGGAGTTACATTCAGAGGAATTACTTTTGAACTCAAACACCAGACCCATATATCCTAAAAGCAAAGTCAAGCACTGATATAAAAAGAGGTCAGTATCAATTTGTGAGTTGATATTTAAAGGTAACTGGGTGAAAATGACTTATATGACCACTGACTTAACGGAAAAATGAAGTATACGACGTACTATGTTCACGGGACAAATTGTGACGTGTCTCTCTCCTTTTCAATCAACTCCACTTGGGTTTGAAGATGCCACAAGTATTCGGAGTTTGACAACGCTTTAATCAGTAACAAACTCTAACATGAAGCGTACCCAACAAGTGAATTCAAAAGACAGAAGCGAGGAGTTTCGAAGATATATTTGATAGGCTATCAATATATCGAGGATCGTCTGATCTTATCTGGCTAACGATTGCAGGGGTTGTTGAGCACGACGTTCCCACTCGTGATCTGGTGCGGATACATGACGGAGGGACTTCAGCTAGTTGAGCCCATTAAAACTAAAGTGGTCATCATCCGATGTCGAAAACTTACGGAGCTATTTATTTTGGGGACTTGTTTACTGCTACAAGTTAGTTAAAATTATCTAAAATAGTTCACGCGCAGATCGTATCTCAGCATGTGCTGAGACAATCAAACATTATTGCCAATAAAGTTAAGTTATCGGAATGTGACAGCCCATCCACAGACTTCAACATTACATTCCAGGATATCTGAGATCAGACTGCATGTTTCGTCTGAGTTGAAAAAAATGCACTTGTGTATGATTCTGAAACTTTGCTTTTTCTATTTACTTTGCTTTGTATGGTGAAGTCAAACTGTGGATATTTTAGTTTTATTAAATCAACAACACGAGAAGTTTACGTTGTGTACATGGTGTTGAAGTGCGCTGCTTGAATGTTGTTCACTCTCTAGAGTTCTTTTTACTTCTGCACACATGCTAGAGTTGAATTTTTAAAACTAGAAATAAATTAAATTTAGTATTATTTTGTATTATTTGTATTATTTATTCAGAAATTTCACTTTTTAAAATCTGATTTATTATACTGAAATTCCTAACACGTTTGGTATTTTAACATCAAACATTATGGATCATATTACTTCAGTTCTTTTCCTCTTTGTCTGTATGGGGCGTCCTGATTTTTCGAAATCAATATTTTCTGATGGACTTTTTTCCTCTTTGTAGAACGCTATTATTTTAGTTGCCATGCCTTAAGTTTGCTCATTATCATCTTTATGTTTTGAAAATACGCGTATTAACCGATTTAAGGCTACCGACGTATGTTTATGCATCGTACATATATGTTGAGCATAAAATATGAAATAGAATCTCTAATGGGTTTCATGGAGATAACTTTCTATTTGGATTTAATGTTAGTATCACATCGTCTCGATAAGTTGCAACGACTTCTGGACCTTTGTTTCTGGAACAATACGTTAGGTATGTGAGGAAACAAATCAGGACCGATTAGTGCTTTGATCATTTAGCATGTATTGAATTCAACTACCCATTTGAAAGATCGCATGTTGATGACTATAAACACTGTTATCACTGCACGGTTTAGTCTGTTTTCTGTAAACACTCATTAATTTTATATTATATTGTTACTCAAATAAATGATATGGTTTGAGATATGGTAATACTATTTAGATTTTATTGTTTATTCCGACATATTGTGACATTAAGGCTGCAGTAACAAGAGGTTTTAAATTGTAGATAACTGATCGGTTTAATATTAATCTTCAAATTTGTGGTTAAAAGTCAGATGAGTGATATAATGCGTGTTTTTCATATAATTTCTAGAAGCACCACTATATCATTACATTTTTTGATTGGATTATGGTAGAGCGAACTCACTAGTTTTTTGAGTAAATGGTTGAAATTTGTCGACTTAAATCCCTTATGGTTTTGAAATCAGGTATAACTGTTGTTGGAAGGATTATTATTACGAGAATATGAACGAATCATTTTCACAGAAACATGAAATTTCTAAAGCTCTAGTTGAATTAAAGTAAGTTGCACTTAATTTCCTCAATACTGTTATCACAGACTTTCAATTTTCGATACCTTGATTCATGACAAAATATGGAACAGAGTTGCCAATGATATCCTGAAAACTCCATCTTTTGATTCCAGTTTTGACAAACGCAATAATCTTGACACTTGGTCCATGATCAGGCTGTTACCCAGGTTTGCTATTTTATTTATTGTTTTATTTTTATGGAGAGTATGTTGCAACTTGATTGTATCTTCGCAGCTAACCCAAACTCACTAAAAGTAGTGGACAATATATTTTAAAGTTATTTATCGTTAATCTGGATCCGCTCAAAAAAAAGTTTTGCTACTTGAA